CCATCCTAGCCATTTGGATCTCAGTTCTGTACATCTGTCTGTACTCCTTATGATAGTGCCTGGCTCTTTCATAGATGAGCTTCCTCCTTATCTTGTGAAGCATCTTCTGGGCAAACTTCTTTCTCATATGCTTTATCTTCAACTCTGCGAAATGTCTTCCTTCTTCTGTTTCTTTTCTTTTTTTGGTAGAACTGGGTATTGAACTCAGGCCCTTGCACTTGCCAGGGAAGCACTTATTCTACTGAGCCATTTCCCCCGCCCTTCGCTTTTTCTTAAGGGTTTCTGGCACAGCAGGAACATTCTTGTTCTTTTCTTCTACATCCTCCATGGTTCTAACCAGAAAAGAGCTATATCATAGTATTCTAAATGCTTCATTTTATAATATAAACTATTTTTGGTGCTTGTGATTGAACCAACAGTTCTCATACATACTAAGCATGAGGTTCAAGATAACACGCCCAGTTCCAATCCAATTTTTTTTTTCTTTTTGGTATTTAGGATAGGGTGTACAGGGGCTCACTGCGTAGATCGGACTCCTAATGATCTGCCTGTTTACAGCCTCCCAAGTGCTGGGTTTACAGGTTCATGCCACCACGTCCAGTGCCCAGTCTCAATTGTGTCTCAGCACACCCTGGGGACAGGGCCGGCATGGCAGGCCTGGGGACTGAACTCCTGGCTCCTACACCTGCCTAAGCAGGCAGCTTTAATCTGCTGAGCTATTTGGCCAACACTTCCAATCCAAATTCTTATAGCAATACACTTCAAACATTGAAAGTTCAGAGTTAGGATCACTACGAGTCTGGGCTGCATAGTGAGACTCTATACCAAACACATAATAAAAACCATACATACAAAATATATCTCCACAAATGAATAAAAGACAACCTTACCTATATATTTGGCTAAGATGTTACAATTGCTGTAGTCTAGGGTATGTTTTGGTCTTATAGCACGATGGTGAAGCTTTAGAGCTTTCAATGACATAAAGAGCCCACCGTGCAGGGTCCTGAGTTCAATCCCTGGTACCACAAAAAATAAATAAATAAAAATAAGCAGCCCACCACCACTGGCCTACAGTATTAGTAACGAGGTCTACTTTTTTTTTTTTTTTTGGTATTTAGTACAGTGTCTACAGGGTCTCACTACACAGATCGGACTCATAGTGATTCTATTTTCAGCTTGCCAAGTGCTAGGATTACAGGTATACACCATGCTTAGTCTCAGTTGCCATCTTAGTGTGCCCCAGGGTCAGGGCCGGTAAGGCAGGCCAATTCCAACCTGTTTCATGAGTCTGCCTAAGCAGGTGCTTTAATCCGCTGAGCTATCAGTAATGAGGCCTCTTAAGATAAAACTGCTTGCCTGGCAAGTGCAAGGGCCTGAGTTCAATCCCCAGTTCCAAGAATTAAAAAAAAAAAAAAAAAAAAAAGATAAAATTGACAGGCTTTGAAGGGGCTAGGGAACACAGACAACATAAGCATACCTAAGAGTCCACATAGAGTTGCCCTTGGTTCAACTCTGTTAGTATTTGTTTATATTGGTATACAGATCCAAAACCAACTCTCCCATCACTCAGGTGGCTGAAGCAGGAGGAGTGCACTAATTCCAGGCCAGCTTGGACTACCTATTGAGTTCAAGGCCTGCTTGAACTAATGCTAAGAACCTGCCTCAAAAACCTAAAAAAAACGAAACCAAACCAAACCTCTCATCTTATTGGCAGATAAGATCCTTTCAATCCTATCTTGAAGATAATACTGTAGCTCTAGAAGGAACATGATCCTGACAATATCAACATAGGTGGCCTATCTTTTCAAATGATACAGATATGGACTGAGATATTTGAAAGTAACAGGATACAACTTAAAAGTGCTTAAGAGTTCTACCCAGTTCAAAGATGGTTCATCAAATGAAAAAAAAAAAAATGTCTTAAGGACAATAAACTTTTCCTACACAAAAAATTGACCAGGAAAATCCATATAAACTGTAACTAGCAGCTCTATGAGTCTACACTAAAGGAGGAAGTGTCAGTGACAGCCTCTTTTTATAACTATACACACTTCCTGTTTGCAATTTTTAAAAGAATGCACTTTTATGTTTTTTAAAAAAATATTATGTCTCAGCCTCGCATTCAATTAAAAAAATTTTTTTAAATATTTTTATTTTTATTTATTTTTTGTGGTACCAGGGATTGAACTCAGGACCCTGCATGGTGGGCTCTTTATGTCACTGAAAGCTCTAAAATATTTTTTTAAATATGTTTTTAAAAAAATAGTGATATATTAAATATCACTATTCTGACTTAGAAAGTTTTATCCATAAGTACTTAAGAGATATACTCTTAAAATATGTGGATATAATTTCTAATACTGTAAATGTCTTGTTCTTCCTATATCTTCTGAAATAATCCCTCCCACAAATTCCTGCCAGATTAGTTTCCAAAACAACAGTCCTTCCATACTCCTGCTTAACAACTTAGGAAGCTGTATGAGCTTGCTTCAGTACATACTGTACTAAATTTTTATGTCTCAGCCTAGCATTCAAAGAATTCTGCAAACAAAAGGTTTGGTCTTATCTTTGTACTGACTTCAAAAATGTCTTACTTATGCAAAAACAATCATCACATCTACAGAAACCCTGCATGGCTGAATTCTTATCTGCTTTCTGGGCTTTTTTCCTCTAGAACTCTGTTATGGTTTGTGCCTAGTTGTCCCCCAGAGCCTCATGCAGTCATTGGGGCAGCAGCTTCTGGAGTTTTAATTCATGATCCAATGCTGGGATTATAGGTGTGAGTGCTAGTGGGATTATGGGTGGGAGTGCTATACCTACCGTGGGGCACATAGTCTGATGTAGTATAAGGAAGGGAGAGAGGCTGGCTCTGTTGTCACTGCCTTTTTGCTCTTGCTGTTTTCTGCCAGCCTGAACTGCTGCCCCCTGTCATGCATGACTCTGCCTTGGAGCCAGCTGATTTTGGACTGAAACTTCCACAAACTGTGAGCTAAATAAACCTTTCCTTCCTTAATTTTGGGTGTCAGGTATTTTATCCCAGCAAAGAGAGAAAAGTAACAGAGATAAACTTTTTTGTTTTTATATTTTAGGGAAGGGTGTTCAGGGTCTCACTACTAGGACTCATAGTGATCCGCCTGTTTACAGCCCCCCAACAGCTGGGATAATAGGCACGCTACCACACCCAGTCTCAATTGCTGTCTCAGTGCACCCTGGGGGTGGGGCCACCGCTGAGCATTCTTGCTGGCGCTTTAATCAGCTGAGCTATAGCCGGCCCTGGAGATACTCTTATCCATTTCCTTCTATGATCACCCAGTAAAGTCATACATCTTTTTTTTTTTTTTTTGGGGGGGGGGGTGGTTAGCGGTGGCTTTATTGGCCAGGTGGTTACTTGAGGGGGATGAAGCGTGAAGAGTGGCACCAATGCCAGGCCGGCCATGCTTCACAGGCTTGTAGGTGATAGAGAACTCGCCCAGGTAGAAAGTCACAGATCTTAATGCCATCAAAAGTTGATTGTGTGCTGGGGAGATAGCTCAGTGGAATAAGTGCTTGCCTGGCAAGCACAAGGTCCTGAATTCGATCCTTGGTACCACAAAAAAAAAAAAAAAAAGAAAAAGAAAAAGAAAAAAGAAAAAAGTTGATTGTGTCAACTTGAGAAGTTTAGAAGCTTAACTAAATCAGCTCAGCAACTTGATATACTCTAAATTGTAGAAGACCAGCCTAGGGTGGCTGGTTGCCCAGATGGTTTTAAGGGGAAATGAGGAAGGACACACTAGCTTCTGCTCTTTGGAGGAGCTCCAGTCTTCACCTTCTACTTGGCCACTGTCTCCTGTTTCCAGTACAAACTCTTCAGCTTCCAGGGTAGATTCTTCAGCCTTTTAGCGCACTCTTTGACTTTCACCTCAGTTCATTCAGCCTCAGGGAATAGACCCATTGGTCCCTGATACAGTCTTGCACAGACACTGAAGTGCATTCTAGATGCTGGACTGAAACCTTCGGTCTTCAGACACTCTCTGCTCACTTTTTCATCCAACTCTGTGGCTGGCCACGGTAAGCCAATCTAGTAATTTCTTATATAGTTGTATATCTTGTGTTATATCTGTCTCTCACTGACTGATACAATGCCCAATGCTCTTGTGTAGTATAGATATATTTGTGGTCTGTTACCCTACTTGGATTTTAAACTCTGCATGTTAATTTGTATAAACCTTTTCAGTTATACATTGCAAAATATACAGCATCTTATAGGAAAAAAGTGTCATGTATATGTCTGCTGATTAATAGAGTCACTAGTAAACTTCTAAGTTCTACCTATCAAAAGAATTGTCCCTTTTTTTTTTTTTTTTTTGCGGAACTAGGGATTAAACTCAGGCCCTACTGAGCTATCTCCCCGGCCTCCCTCTATCACCTTTTTTTGGTACTAGGAATTGAGCTCAGGACGTGGTACTTGCCAGGCAGGCACTGTGCCACTGCGCTATACCCCCAGCCCTTGTTAAAAGGATTCTGAAGAGTTGTATAAGCAATCAGAGCTAATCTCCACAGTCCTATATTCACCATACATCCCAACAGTTCTGCAAATACAGTAAAACATACAAGGAAGCCCTCTGGAGTCTAGTCTATCTGAAGTTGACTCACTTCTACTACTTTTTTTTGGCAATACTGGAGACTGAACTCAGGACCTTGGGCTCACCAGGCAAGCACTTATTCTACCGCGCTATCTCCCTGGCCCCACTTCTGCTACTTATTAACCAGATGACTTTGGGCAAATTACTTTCTCTTTGGCACTAAATTTTTGCACCTTGTGGAAACAATATACAAAATATGTCCTGCATAGTACTTACCATGTTTGCTTCCAATATATGGTTGTTATGACTGTTTTGTCTTTAGACAATAAGTTCCATGAAGTACAATAGTTTCTCCCCAGCACCTTCCAGATCTGAATGCAGATTACCATGTAAGTTCAGCCTAAACCAGGCTCATAAACTGTTTCTGTTTTTTTTAAAGGATTTTTATACTATATTTAAAAAATCATAAAATAAAAAAGGAATCAATCAACATATATATCAGAAGTCCCTCCAGCAGTCCCAGTATTCACCAGCTTTGCCCATTTCTGCTCACAACATAGATCTTTTAAGGATCACTGTCTTTGCTCAGTCCATAGCTCATTCAAGGATCTCGGAGATGACTCTAGTCCTTAAAATCAAACTTGTTCTGCCAAATCCAAGACCCTGAATTTGTCCAAATTGTAGAAACATGCTTTTACTACCCGTCCACCAAAATACCTCCCATTCAGATCAACAACAACTTTAATTGCTGATTCAACTCTCTCAAATTCTAAAAATATTTGTACTGCTTCATCATCAGGGGCACCAGGAATTTCAAATATCACACATTTGCCAACTTTGCCATATTTTTCACATTCTTCCTTGGTTTCAATTTCCAAATCTTCATCAACTTCTCCTGCACCAACCATGTTCCTCAATAGGACCACTTTAGTAGGACATTTAAGTATTTCAGTTAATGGATTTGAATCAGACTTCTTTGATGCATCTTGAGACTCACCCTTCTCCGTGGCATCACCCACAATGATCTTGCCACCCCGTTTGCTGGTCTTCTCCACCGACAACGCGGTGCTCAGCCCCTGCTCGTGCTTCCCCAGACCCTGGCCTTCCCGGAAGCCATACTTCTGCATGATCTTATGTGCTACTGTGCCACCCATGTTAGCAAGGAAGGAGTTGCCAGGCCCAGTTGGAGACCTTGGCCTGTCCTGTTCCTCATACACTGGGGGAGGAATAGCAGCTTTGGAAGACTGTGATCGAGGTCTTGAGTCCTCTTCATAAGGAAAGTCTCGGGGTGACTCTTTGTCTTTCTCTACAAGAGAAGTAGGTGGTGCAATAGCAGCTCCTCCCATACTTCTTTTTCTTCTCTCCCGCTCATAATCTTCATCTTCATCAGAATCTGGATCTGGTCGCCTTGAAAATCCACTAGCTTCATGTCTGTCTTTACGCCTCTTTTCTCTTTCTTCTATTTCCTTTTGTCTCTCCAGCTCCCGCTGTCTCTGTCGTTCCTCTCTTTGGCGCTTTACTACTTTCTCATAGTCATTAGGAAACATAGGATCATATTCATCAGCTAAAGGAATGAGAACTTCTCCTGCAGAAAACCCACTGGGAACAGGGTCCTTCAGGCCTGCTGCAACATGTGGTGGTGTGTCCACAATCTGCCGGTCATCTGCAGAGCCACCTCGTTTCAAGTCAATGACAGGAGCAAGGACGGTACTTTGTTTTGTCCTTTGGCTCTTTGCCTGAGTGAGCGCTGCCTTCTTCACCTGAAGCTGAGACTGCAGAAGCTTGAAGTTTTTGGACCAGCCTTCTGTTTTTGAATCACTGGTTTCCACTCCCAGATCATCGTATAGGGACATCTTTTTGGATTAACGCCGGCCCACTGGGCCGACTCTGCCCATGGGCCAGGGCGGCGGTAGCGCGGAGCCGGCCGCACTCCGCTGAAAGCCCAGGACCACGGGAGTCAGCGGTGGCGCCCACGCTCCGCCGGGTCTGCAGGGCGCTCCGCAGGCGCAGGGTAAGCGAGCGCGGGCCACCTCATAAACTGTTTCAAGCTGGGGTTTTCAGACCACTACTCCTTGTAACAGGTTATAGTTTATACATAAATGTATTACTCTAATGCCAGAGGAACCTATAGGGCCTAAACCAGTGAAATGCCAGATTAGGCCTCTGATTTTGTTTTTCTCTGCAACTTTCTGCCAAGATTACAGGTTAGAGCCTTAATCACCTCCACATTCCTGGGGAATGTGTCCTGTCTTCACTCTCCCAATATCTGGCCCAATGCCCTAACCACATTAATCTGCACAAGTATTTATGAAAAGACATCTGTATCACTTACAAATAAGTCTAATATCAAGAGCCAAGAGTAAGGGATTGGGATATAGCTCTGTGGCAGGTACTTGACCTGCCAGAAAAGCTCAAGGTCCTGAGTTCAATTCCTAGTACATTAAAAAGGAAAAAAAACCAACCAACCAACCAAACAAACAAACAAACCCCCCGAGTACCCAAAAAGCAGTACAGACTCACATCACATCCTATCCTAACCTCTACAAATCAACAGCATGCGAGATAGATCTGATCTCACTACATCCCTATGAACAGCATGATCTGAACTGATGGAGGCACTAATAAGTTCATCTATGTGACTGTTAGAATCCCTTTTATGAGTAGCTTTTTCCATAGATCTCCCTAGCATCTACCCATAACACCAATGCTTTAAGAGCACAGACTCAGGAAAGAGTCAGGGTATTTTCCGAATCAGCCCCTGCTCCACGATGGTCCAGCCACTCTAGAAGATATCTGTATCATTTAATCTGACAAAAATACATAGTAGTCTTAGAAACAAGAAAAACCAGCCAGTTTAACTGGTGATTTTCTGTTTACTTGTATCTCTTTATCTCATCATTTTCAGAAAGAGATGTTTATTTATCTCAAAAAAAAAAAAAAAAAAGTACTTGCTTAAGATTAACTGAACTCAGGCCAGGGTATATAGCTTAGTGACACAAGTGCCTGCCAGGCAAGCGCAAGATCTCAAGTTCAATTCCTGGTACTAAAAACAAAAAATTAACTGAATACTCATTAATTAATCAGTGCTAGTAACTCAAAACTGGGTAATAAAAATTAATTCCCACAAAGTTGCCCATTAAGTATCCAGGATGGCAAATTATACTTACTCTTCCAGGAACCAAGGGAATGGTAGCTTCAGCCTTGGTTCTCTCGGCTTCATCATAACTGGGCAGTGTGGTAGCCACATTGTAAGAGGGAGGCTTTGGAAACCCAGACTCATCTTTGTAGTCAAAATATGCTGAAGAAATAAAGGAAGTCACAATATCTGATGATTAAGTAGCTTAACTAAAGGAGTACAAGAATTTCCACAAATTGAAGCAAACTACACCCAGGCATTTCCCTAAGAGTACATGTAGAATAACTGAACCAAATGGTATTTTTGTTAAATATAAAAACCTGGGGGTGGGGGCTGGTGAGATGGCTCAGTGGTCTAAAGCACCTACTTAGAACAAGCTT